GTAAGGGTACTCTCCGATGTAATTGCCGGGTGTGTCATAGTTACAAGTCACGAACCACCAACCATTGGTGCACTGAACCCTAGCGCACCCTAACTTCACTGATTCTCTCCATACCACTTGCGTGTAATGCAAGCATTGTTTTCCACCTATAGTTAATTCATATATATTATGCATCTATGCAGCCTTATTAAAATAATGGGATACGAATTGTTTGTGTTGTAAATAGTATATACCTGTACAAGAATTGGTAGTGTAGTTGTAGTAAGGTTTCTCAGCGACCCAAAGATTCACGGCCGATATGGCCGAGAACGTGCTGCTACTTCCCTTGGCTAGGTTTTCTCCATATGGTCCTGTCGAGTGCACGAGGTTGCAGTCAGATTTTCTAGCGTTTGCGTAGTTCAGTGCATAGCTCGCAACCGTTGCGTCCCATACAAGGTTCGGTACTCCGACCTGCGAACGTGCGGCGTTGTGAGTGTTTAAGTAGTCTTGTTGTTCAGTACTTTGAACGCTGGATGCAATGAGCAAAATGCTAATCGCAACGATTAGAACTGATGTGGCTGTGAAAGTATTCATTATTGAATTGATGTTTGTATTAGAGGAAAATATATTGGTTGTGTTGTGGGTAAGTAGGAGGAGTTAGGTCTCACTTATATAGGCAGTGAGTGCATGAGATGAGAGGGTTAGCTAGTGGTTCTGGGAAACTTTTACACTGGAGAACTGACTTTTCTTTTTGAAGCTTAATCATAAAATGTAGTTTTATGATGAAGTAAACTGATATAAAAAATTCTATCATGACTTTATCACTATTACGCAAACCTTATGTAGATCTATTTGGGCTAATTAAACAAATAAAATAAGAACAAGTATAAAATAAAACTTTTACTTGTACTGCAAGTGAAAATAACAATGTTTTGTATCATATTATTAGATCATGTACATTGGTTTCTTTTATTCAACACTCTCTTTTTACTTTCTAACAATCCACATTAATTTATCTTTATTCCATCTAATACTTAATTGAATACACATAAAACTTAATACTCAATCTTTTTTAAAGATATAATTAAAATTTCAATTAAAAGTGTGTTTAAATCAAATGAAACAAGTCTCTATTTATAAAGAAAAAAATTTGATCTAAAATTTTTAAATAAAATAAGTGATATGAAAAACTTAAGATGTAAATAAATCTCAACAGTTTAAGTCATCAATAATAAAATGACATGTTATTCTCATGGACCTTATTTTATAGTTTTTAACCACTTGAAAACATTCAACACTAGATAATCCACACAGATTTTTTTTCTAGCATTCTAATTGGATAAAGTACTCAATAGACCCGTTGTGAATGTTCTTATAAACTCTAAGAGGGGGGGGGGGAAGTATTAGTGGGATTTAAATTTCTGTAGAGTTTACCAATTTTAAAAGTAGAGAAATTTATTAAATTTTAGAATATTTATAGATTATTTTGTATATTTTGAAAATATATAAGAAAAATAAACTATTATAATAATTCTAAAAACCAAACGGAAACATATAGTATTCTCAAATCTTGTTTTGTGAGTTACAAAAATGAAGAATACAATTAATTTTCATTGAGAATCATTACAATCTAAACCTTTTGAATAACATGAAATTTTGTATATAATTAGAAAATCATCAAACTAATAACATTAAATCTAATAAGAATTTGATAATTTATAAACTAATAACACTGGACTTAAAATTTTTAATGATTATTATAAATCTATTTTCCACTAACACCCCTAAAATTATCTAGATTTGTTTTGGATGGTTAGTTATCTAGCTAATTAGCATTTTTGTTTTCTTGATACTTGATAGGACTTATCATCTATATATTATGAGAAATTGTTTAAACTAAACAATTCCTAATATTATTTTTCATTTTTACCTTAACTACGTTTATCCCTAGTTTTAAAGAGAAAAAAAGACACTTCTATTCTTAAAGTAACTAATCTAAACTTAAGATTTAGATTTGATGGATGGAGTTTGGGAGGATATGGCTTAAAATTTTAATAAATAAATAAATAAATAAATACTTCAAATATAAAATAAAAATTACAAAATAGTTTTTAAAAAATTCAAATTTCAAAGTAAAAGTTTGAAAAACAAAATCTTGTAAAAAAACAAAAATATTTGCATTTGAAAATGTATAATGGAAAACTATATTTTTATTATTATTTAAATAATTATTTATATTTATATATTTGTAAAGCAAGTTAGAAGGATTTTTTGCCCTTAAATGAAAAGAACAACGTATTTGTGAAATGGATGTAAACATGAATTGCGGTACAACAAAAGTGGCAAAATTAGAAATTCCCCATATATTATGTAACTTGAAATGTATAAATTAGTCTAATAAGCGAATGTCTATTTGTTTCACACGATAGTGGCATCTGGCATGACGTGAATCTCCGCCGATTACAACGTCAAATGAGGCACTCCTAGTGTAGTACAAATTCTGGCCACTTGTACCAATTTCCACGCACTATATAATTGATCTTTAAGGAAAAGATAGCTAGCTTGAAAGGGTGAATGCAGGCAAGTGGATGTAGACAGTGGATCACGCTACTAAGGAGTATATGATGCATTCTAATAATATGTTCAATAAGGGCATTTATTTACATATAATAAAAACTACAAGAAAACTAAAAAGTTACTAGAAAATTTTACTAAGAAGATAATTCCTCGTAAATTTACTACGAACTTACTTCGATTTTACGAGGAAAACTTGTTTCCTCGTAAGGTCCTCGTACATATATGAGAAACATATTTCCTCGTAACACCGTAGTAAGCTTACGAGGAAATTACGTGGCAAAAGTCCATTTCCTCGTAACACCGTAGTAAACTTGTTATATTACTTTTTGTTGCAGGTTGATTATGACGATCCTGAGTATCCCGCATAGTTTCCCGAATTACTTCAAGGTCCAGTTGCAAAGGTCACTACATCATCGATGTATTTCACCCGAGACTATACTTTTCATACCTATGACTATGGTATACACCGGGTGACAAGTAATTATGGAATATGTGTGAAAGGCGAAACAAATTTCTACGGGATCTTGCAGGAGATTTATGAAGTTCAATTCTCATGTATGAGTTTGAAATGTGTTATCTTCAAGTGTGAGTGGTACGACCTCGTCGTCAACAGAGGTGTTCAGATTAACAAGAACGGTGTAGTTGATGTCAACGGTGGACGAATGTACAACAAATTCTTTTTTTTAATATCCAGGTTTCTAGTATTAATTAATTTTTACATTGATCTTTATTTTCGTAGGTACAACAAGTTCGAGTCTTTCATATTAGCTTCCCAAGCAGATCAAGTTTGCTTCATTCCATACCCTCGGATTAATACCTCGGGAATAAACTGGTTAGCTGTTATCAAAGTTACACCTCGAGGACGAATAATCGCTGGAGAAGAACCACCATTACAAGAAGAAAACACCAATGAGATCGAGGAAGCTGAAGCAGACATTGATGAGTTCCTACTCATTGATCCGCATAATCGTGAATACAAAGATGTTCCTGATCACTCAACGTACGAAGGTGTGGACGACGAGTTTTTAGAAAATGATGATGTTTCAACAGATTACGACAATGTATCCGAATGAATTATGTATATTTATAAGTTTGTTTAATCATAAAAATGAATTTGGATTATATATGTTTTAAGTTTGTTTAATCACAAAATCAATTTGCATTTGGGGTTTGTGGTTTATGTGTAGAAGAGGTTAGGAGTTTGGTTGTAGAAGAGGTTATAAGTTAAGGAAGTTGTGGTTTGGGGTTTCGAGTTTAGGGATTCACAAACTCTTTCCTCGTAAAGCCCTAGTAATAGAAAACGCGGGCATAGTCGTTTCCTCTTAAAGTCCTAGTAACGGTATTACTAGGACTTTACGAGGAAAAAAACGCGATTATAGCTATTTCCTTGTAAAGCATTTTCCTCGTAAAGTCCTAATAATTGTATTACTAGGACATTACGAGGAAAAAAAAACACGAGCATAGCTATATCCTCGTAAAGGCCTAGTAATGGTACTAGGGCTTTACGAGGAAACAAAATTCCTTATATAAACTCGAGCAATCCGATTTCTCATTTTTAGTAAACTTCTCTCTGAATTCTCTTAAGTTTCTCTCTATTTCCTAGTTAGATGATTAGATTAGGGAATTTAGATTAGGTGGTTAGTTTATAGAATTTAGATTAGGTGGTTAGTTTAGGTAATTTAGATTAGGTTGTTTTACTTTTTTTTTAACTGTTTTTAAAAATTATACGGGAATTAATGTTTATTTTATTTTTTTAAATTTAGATGGTCAGACAGAGCAAAATTGCTAAGGCTAGTAAGAGGCCTCTTTAGGGGAGTCACTACGGAGAACTTTTCGGGCGTCAGTCTGGTCCCGGTTCATCTTTGTCACCTCCCGGTTCATCTTCGATTTCGGATCCTGACGCTGTTCCAGAGACTCAGGGAGATTCTACGGCGTCCCGGTTTGAGCAACCACCTCCACCTCCTCCTCCTCCTCTTCCACCGGTCGGGGTTCATCCCGATTTGTAGGTGCTGCGGAACGCACCCTTTGCGGTGTACACGGTGGAGGATATTTTGGCCCTTCCAGGCAGAGAAGGGCTGCCAGAGTTAGATCCTATCCGACGGGACGGCCAAAACGTATTATGGTATGTTTTAATTTTTAAAAAGTTTTTTTTTTAATTTATTTCTTAATTAACAAAATATTTACAAATTAATCTAATTAATGATTTATTTTGTGTCTTTCCAGGTTTGGTCTTGACGGATGTGTCGCAACTAGCGCCACAGACTATATCAAGGGATACTTTCCCGATGCAGCTCCAAACTGAAAGAAGACGGCGAGCCACACAAAAAGACGTGGTTCAAATCGTTCGCTGTAAGTTTAATTAATGTCAACTTAATTTATTTTTAATTATTTAAAATTATTAATATTATTGAACTAATCCGTCTCTTATTTTTTCTGGTTACAGCAAAAATATCGCTGGTCTATTGGGATTCACCAGTGGGTTAAGACAGAGTTTGAGGCCAAGGCTAGAGCACGATTGCTCGACATGGTCTACAACTGGAAGTGCGACTTTCAGGTATGGATTTATAAATTATAATATATATATATATAGTTTTAAAAATATTATTGACTTTAATTCTAATTATTTTAAATCAGGTGGATGGTTACGAGAACGGGTAACCCGATTGCCTCACAACCACGGTGTGGGATGGCCTCATCAGCTATTGGGGGTTGCCGGATTCGGTCAGAACCTCCCACACAAACTCCGGGAACCGCATGACCAAAGACGAGCATGGAAACACGAAGATGCTTCACACCACGGGTCGAAAACCTCACGGGGGAGTTCGTCTAGACATGGTAAGATGATTTTTAATAACTATTTAATTTTTATTTTATTTGAATATTCCAAATTAATATTTAATTTTAAAAATTACTTTTAGGCTAAAGAGACAGGAATTCTTCCATTTCTGAAAGACCTTTACGAGAGGACCCACCGGAACAAGGCTGGGCAGTTTGTAGATCCTGCTTCCGAGCAGATC